GGTCCTCTTCATTTTAAAGTCCATCTTCCAGTTCACCAACCATCCACCCACACTGTTATAGTCAATCATACCCTGTGTGTGTGTGTGTGCGTGTGCGTGCGTGCGGTTTACTTTACTGTCACATCCCGGCTGCAGTCACAGTTGGCTCGTGAGCTGTAGTTCTGAAGGCTGGGTGTGTGGCTTATCTTCCCATCGCTTGTTGGTGCTGCAGCTGAATGTCAGCCGCAACATAAAGAAGTGTAATGATGTAGTGAGTAGGGTTGCAAAGGGTTGGAACATTTCTGGTAAATTTCCATGGGAAGTTAAGCTGGGGAATTTTGGAAATATTCCATATATGAAATTAATTAATTAAAGTTTTCCGCACTCTTGCGGGAATATCTCCGCGAGCGAGTTTAAGTTTCACCTTCGTCACACATGTTGCCGCTTCTTTGTACCATTTTCAGGCGATTTGTAATCTGTTCTAGAAAAACAATGTATTTTTGGATATTTGGGGAGTTAGGTGGTCCGCGAGTGTTTTTTATATTGGTTAAAGGTGGGGTAGTAGTAAGTTTGAGAAACCGGCTTGAGATCCACTTTTTGTTATATTCCATGGAATGCTCTTAACATCCCGATAGCAATGAATATCTAAGTGCTTTGACAAAAAATCCATTAAAAAATGTCATCTGTGGAAGCCGTAGTACTGTAAAAAGCACGACCAATCATCTGAGCCGGCCCGGCTAAAATAACTGGATGGCCTACCTGCCTGTCAGCCTTCCATCTGTGCACAAACTTATCTCGTGCCCTCATTGGTCATGTGCGCGTTCGTGTGTGTTGGAGGAGGGGCTCTGTAAGGAAGTGGCAGATTTTTTNTGGGTTCAAAGAAAGTAAAAAATGGTTCCTATATATCTAAAATGTCCTATCTTAAATGGTCCATTCTATAAAACAAGTTAATATGAAGGAGTTTGTTTAGTGGTGGTGCTGGTGGCGAAGTCGAAAGGGACTTGGCTTGGCAACTGGAAGGTCACCAGTTTAAGTCCCGGCAAGACCAAGTGCTACCGAGGTGTCCCTGAGCAAGGCATCGTTCCCTACACTGCTCCCCGGGCGCCGTTCAAAATGGCAGCACACTGCTCCTAACACTAGGATGGGTCAAATGCAGAGAAACAATTTCCCCACGGGATTAATAAAAGTCCATTTTAGTATCATTCTCTCGTCACCTTTTTAAACTAACCCTTGCACACATTTTGCATCTCTGCCAACATGTTTAAAACATGAGGCCTGTGTTTGCCTGACTGCCACACGCTCAGTAACCCGAGGCACAGAACCATTACTCAGATTAAACTGCTCCGCTTTACCACACTCTCTTTATTCCTACACACGGTCAGCAGATTATGCTTTTTGTTGAATTGTCTCCATGCCTTTTTTACCTAAAACTTAACAAGGTTGCTCATTACTGTTGAAGCTCTGACATAAATCAGTGGCATTTGACCTGCAAGAGTTTGCAATGAGTACATTGTGAAGCAGCTGTTCTTTTAAAAGAATTATCAAACTAAAATGTATGAAAAGTATAGAAGTAAGGGGCTTACATTGAGTCCAAGGCAGGCTGAAGGGTTTATGATCCGGAGCAGGGGCAGTCCGTAGAAAATCAGCTTCTCCTTTTGCAGCAACGTTTCTTAACTTCTTCACACTTTCCCCTCTCTCCTTACCCCTGTCTTCTCTTCTCCTCTTTTTACCTGTCAGCCT